GGCTATTAACTGACCTTCTCTAAGAATGGTCTGAATCTGTTCTTTTTGTGTTTCCAGTAATGTTTCAGAAACATCCTGGGTTTCCCAAGATTAACACAATTGTTTTGGCCATGACAGTTTGGTAATTTATGACTCTAAACAGTAATGTTGTTGATGAATACGCCATCTTGAGAAGCCTGATCATATGGAGTTGACTTGGCATTATGTTGCTTGCTTTATGCATTAACCACATCCACTGTGATGGAGTTGGGTTGCGGATGTTGAAAACAAAGTCTGCCTCTTTGTAGAGAGATGTAGGGTTCTTTTTGTTTACATTGTTGCTGGTTGGTGTGATGGAGGCTGGCTCTGCCAGATGGTTTTGGTAGGATCTAGAATCAGCTCATTAATTGGGAGGATAGTTCTAGATGAGAAGGTAGTATGCAGAATTTCCACCAACTTGTGATGTGTATCTGCCACCTCCTGTAAAGGAATCTGCAGCTCGTCTGCCACCCTCTTGGTAAGATTCAGAAAGTTCTTAAATCTTCACTTAGTGATGAGGTGTGGGCAGCACAGTCTCATCTAGGAGAGATGAGGAGAAGTGTGCTGAAGAGGTAGCTTCCTCTTCAGGTTTTTTTTTTTTCCTTCCCCCTTCTTTCCTGTTCTGAAAAAGCTCTCTCCTGTCCTGGCTCAGGTGCTTTCCTGCCCTGGCTCAGGTGCCAGGCTGTAGCAAACCATCTGGTGGACTCTCCCTGAGAGACACCGGAGACGGTGGAGCCATGTGTGTATATACCCAAAGAGTTACAATATGGCCTTGGGAGGGAGAGGCAGGAAGCCAGGCACAGGCAGTTGGCGTGATGGAATTGGGGATGACCCTTGTAGTGTGGTGGGAGGGAATGATCTCCTCCTGGCCAGCGTCATATTCGTCAGTGGGTAAGGGTGCCGCTGACTGGGGTATTGGCAGTATACAGCCCAGTGCTAAGAGCGATTCTGGGTGCCGGGATGTGCTCAGATACCGGGGTCCTGGTACCAAGTAATGGGGATTGTGGTTCTTCCCCAATCATCAAGTCTCCAGGGTGTCAGAGCTCATGTGGTATCATGGGTTCATTTGGTACCTCAGAGAAGGGTCCGTGGTACATTGTCAGTACCGATAGTTGGGCAGAGCACTCCCTAAATGAAAGTTTTGCCCAGTACAAAAAGTTTGTTGGTGCCTCTTTTTAAAGTCGGTATGGTAATTGTCTCTCCCTGGGTACTGAGGCCACAGGCCTCCAGAGTATCAAAGCACCTGTGTTACCATGGGCTCATCCAGAACCCCAGAGGAGTGTCTGTAGTTAGTATCAATGGTTGGGAAGGTGCAGAACACTTCCTAGATGGGAGTTTTGTTGCATCTGGCACCAAAGGGTTTCTCTATGCCGCTTTTTTAGAGATGGTACGGTAACTGTCCCCTCTCCTTAGGGGATGGTACCATTGCCTCAGAGCAGGAAGGTGGAAGCCTCTGGTGTGTGGGTGCCGAAGCAGAGCTGACAGCAGGACTTCTCTGTGTCGCTCTTTTAGAGATGGAACAGTAACTGTCCCCTCTCGGTGCACTAGTTGCCCAGAGTAGAGCTCAGAGCAGCACAGAGCTTACAGAAGCCCCTTGTCCGTGCAGAGAGCAGAGCTCAGAGCAGGGCAGAGCTCACAGCAGGAAGCCCCTTCTCAGGTTTCAGCTTCCAGAGCTTCCCTGTGGAACAGTGCTGCAGCTGAGCTCACAGCAGGAAGCCCCGGTGCCTAACTGGAGCGGCAGCTGAGCTCACAGCAGGAGGTTCCTCTGCTGGTATTGTCCTACCAAGTTTCAGAGTAACATCCGTGTTAGTCTATATTTGCAAAAAGAAAAAGGAGGACTTGTGGCACCTTAGAGACTAACCAATTTATTTGAGCATAAGCTTTCGTGAGCTACAGCTCACTTCATCGGATGTATGAAGTGAGCTGTAGCTCACGAAAGCTTATGCTCAAATAAATTGGTTAGTCTCTAAGGTGCCACAAGTACTCCTTTTCTTTTTGTCCTACCAAGGTGGCCGCTCTGGGGAGTCCCATTGGCTGGCCAGCTACTCGGGGGTCGATACCGAGATGGCCAAACTGGGGAACACCCCTCTGGCTGGCCAGTTGCTTGGAAGAGCCTTTCCAGGGGGAGTCTGCTGGTGGCTTTTTTCCCCTCTCTCTCTCTCCCCCTCTTCACCACTCGACCCCTTTTGAAGTGAAGGCTCCGGGGATGATCCGGGGTCAACACCCACCGGAGTCCCCTGCAGACTGAAGTGTTTATAGGGAGGAATTTTTACTTCTGCTCCCAGCTCCTGTGAGCCTGCAGTTTTCAGTGTGGCAGGTAAAGCACTTCTGTGAGGGTCTCCCAGGCACAGCGAGTGTCTAGCCATTACAGGAACTGACTCCTGGCAGGAGAGGCACCGCTTGGAGCAGAGAGAGCCAGGCAAGCCCCTGGGCAGGGGGTTGTCATCCTCTAGCAGGGAGGAATATGTAGAAGAACAGCATCTTTCTTTTCTTTTCTTTTTTTTTTATTTTTGGTAATTGAAAAAGAAAATAATTATGAGTCTGCTAGATGCCGGGGGGGGGGGAGGGGGGAGAATGCCCCCAGACAGGGAAGGAAAGAAGTTCTTTTCCTTTTTCTCTTTTCTTTTTAAACCAAAGGAATAAAATAAAATAAAACAAAACTAGCCTGAATACTTTTAGGGAGAACAAAGGTAACAAAACAACTACTACTTATGCTAATGACACAAATAAGGAAGGGACAACTGGTCAGAGGCCAAAGGCAGTAGAGAAGGAAGTGAGGGGGGTTCGCCCATGGAGTGAGTGCTAAATAGCCTCCAGGCAGACCATGAGGGAGGGAGAGCACATGCACAGGCTCAACAGGACACTGCTGCCAAAAATCTCCCATTAGAGGTGCAGGGGCACACAGACACCTAAAGTAGAGCACCCATAGGGACACTACTCGAAGAAGAACAACGCTTCCTCAGTCCCCTAGCACCCTTCCTCTACTTATGCTACATTGATGACATCTTCATCATATGGACCCACAGGAAGAAGGCCCTTGAATTCCACCTGGATTTCAACAATTTCCACCCCACCATCAATCTCAGCCTAGACCAGTCCACACAAGAGGTCCACTTCCTGGACACTACAGTGCAAATAAGTGATGGTCACATAAACACCACCCTATACTGCAAGGGTCGGCAACTTTTCAGAAGTGGTGTGCCGAGTCTTCATTTGTTCACTCAAATTTAAGGTTTCGCGTGCCAGTAATACATTAACATTTTTAGAAGATCTCTTTCTATAAGTCTATAATATATAACTAAACTATTATTGTATGTAAAGTAAATAAGGTTTTTTAAATGTTTAAGAAGCTTCATTTCAAATTAAATTAAAATGCAGAGCCCCCCGGACCAGTGGCCAGGACCCGAGCAGTGTGAGTGCCACTGAAAATCAGCTCACGTGCCACCTTTGGCATGCGTGCCATAAGTGCCTACCCCTGACTTATCCTATATCCTTTTGTTAAGAAACTTGTTCTATTTTTCCTTCAAACCAAGTCAGTTGTGCTTGAAGGGAAGGGTTCATTACCGCAATTAAGTTACTAAGCTGTAATGCCCTAACTCTTTAAAACAGCAGCAAATATCTTCAGTGAATGCAAAGTGATAGGGTCTGTACATTGTACAGAGACAACTCTGAGGTGCTTGGGGGCTGGAGTTCATTGATTGTTACCCGCAAGGCTAAGACTGGTAGAGTCTCAAGAAGTTTGCTGGTTCAGAAGACACCCTGGGGTGGCTGGGAGCTGACACACAGTGTCTAATCTCCAACAAAGCTCACTCTTGCTGTGGCAGAGAGATAACACAGTGGCCCACTCTCCTAAGGAACTTTCAAGTTAGATATTATTTTCTCCACTTTCTAGAAAAGTGGTTTTTATACAGAAATTGACTTTAATAGAAATGTTGGCTTCTGGTCAATTGGGAAGAAAACATTATCAAACTTTGCAGACAACTTTCCCAACAAAGAAATGTTCCCATATGACACAGAGGAAGAAGGATTTGTACAGACAAATTACCCCCAAAGAAATGTGTTTTGATCTGCGAAACAGGACCTGCAACCTCAGCGTGTAGCATGATAACAGAAAATTTCTTTAAGATATTGTTTCAATCGTATGCCAATCAGGTTAAAAATTATTTTATTTATATATAAAAATTGAAAAGAAGAGATTTTTATGCACAGAGTGGACAAGTCCAGAGAATATTGGGATTCACTTCATAACCAAACTTCCCAAAAATTATTATTGTGTATTTAATACCTCTGGTAATCCTCCTGGGGCTTCCTAGAGGAAACTGTCACAAAGAAATGAAGAATTAATCTCTCATCTGCTAGTAGCCACTAGATAACTGATAGCCTTTCACTTTTAAAAGAAAAATAGCCCAGATTGAGAAGAACGGTTCCAAAATAAATGGGAGGATGTTATTGAAAAATTAAAAAGAGGACAAAGATACTTTGATATTTGGGTACCATATATTCAGGACTCAGACAAAAGTACATTAACCTGCAGGAAAAAAACAGCACACGTCTTTTTCTAAAAAATATTAATATTTGATAGACATGCCTGATTTGATAAATATGAGTAGAGTCAGTAGTTTCACTCAATAAAAACCACCAGAAACAATACGTTTTGGATGGTGTGAACAGGCTCAACCTGTTATATGATAAACACTCTGTTAAATAGAAAGATTTGATGAGATTTATATTCCTACATTATTTTTCTCTAAACAAAAAAGAAAAGCTCACTATTGTAATGATCATCATTCTGTTTCTGCTATTTACATGGCAAGGATTTGTAATAACTAGATAGTTACAAAACAAAAAAAAAACCAAAACTTTGAAGGATTTTACAGGATAAACTTAGCCAGTTATATTTTCCTGTTGGGAACAAAAATAAAGATTAACATGTACATACAATAAATAGTAATTTGCAGCCACCTTGACATTTTATTTCTTACCTTTGCTCTAGAAGAACTGACATTCTCCATATTCTCAATGCTGCAGATGCAATTGTGTGAAACCTTACGGCAAGCTACTCGGATATAGTCCCAGAAGCTACGAGGGCTTTCATAGCCAAACCAGGTGATCTGACCTTAATCAGAAGGCAGAAGACACAAAAATATAGGTAAAGAATATGGATTGTTAGAAACGAGGACACATTCCCAACATTTTAGATACATCTCAAGCTCTGTTACCACTGTTAGTGCACTGGTACAGCTGCACCAGAGAACTGCACCAATACAAGCCCCTAGTGTAGATGTGTTGCACTTGCACAAAAAGTGACTTGCACTGGTGCAGCTTACCTTGCTTTGAAACCAGTGCATAGATAAAGATTTAGTTTTGTCTTTTTTTTTTTAAACTATCATATTGCAATAGCACCCAGACCTCTAAACTGTAAGCAGGGTCCCAGTGTACTTCACAAACTCAAAGGCAGGGTCCAAAAAGAGCTAAAAATTCAAGTGCAGGTAGCAACAATGGTTTTTTACTAGACACGGCCATATACACTTCATGAATAAAAAGAAGCAAAGACAGAGCGAGAACCTGTACAGTAAAGCTATGCTTTACAGCAATTTTAAATTTATTCCCATTTGTTCTAGAAAACCATTGCTCCTATGCCAGCAGTTCCCAAACTGTGGGTAGTGACCCCCATCACCAGATGGGATTGCAATGATCCGTACTATGCAAAGGACACCATTTTGCTATGTACACCGTGACCTTGCACATACAGTGAGTGAGAGATCATGATGCCTGGAGGATACAGGCATCAAGCAGCATAACCTCACATGCACCATATGTACAGGGTCCTACACTGTGTGTAGGAAGCCATTTTGAAGAGAAAAATGGCATCCTCTATGCAGCGTGACCTCTCACGTACAGTGCGTGCAAGGTCACACTGTGCAAAGGATGCCATGTTGCTCTTCAAAATGGCAACTTGTATGTGTCTGAGGTCCCAGCAGGAAAGTCTTCATTAAAATGGGGTCGTGCTAGCAAAAACTTGGGAACCCCAGTCCTATGCCAACCAGTAGCAGATTTTGGGGCCCTGACAGTTGGTTTTCCATTGGAGGAGCAATCACTGATGTGAAGTCTAAGTATTTTCTTATTGCAACCTGTTTTACTTGCAGTATATAAACACACCAGTCCTTGAATACTGGTGATAAAACAGCATGTAGCAAATTCCCTCTTTCAGAAATCTGAGCCAAAAAAACACCCTTGCATGGTTCGTCCAATTGATTAGTCTGATTAAGGCAAAGGGCAAACTCTCCTGCTGTTTGCAATAGCTCCCCCAAAACAAACACACACAGCATTTCTTCCAAGACTGAATAGTGCTTGTGTAACACTGACAGACCCTGGTCGTCAGCGGGCGGGCAGGATCGAAGTCGGCATCTCTGGAGTTTAGTGCATGAGCCTCTACCGCATGAGCAAAATGCCAACTGGCTGTTTGCTGTACAGCCTTAGTGTGACACACACACACACACACACACAATACCACACGCTTTGCATGCAAAGAATTTTTTTTAAAACTATGTGTAATGTGCCATCTGATTACTAATCATAAGGATAGATATGCAGTTTCTCCATACAAAGCTCAAATCTAGATAAAAAATAAAAAACCTAGAAATTAAAACTTAAGAAATAAAAGATCTTTGCTTCTCTTTTTCTTTTAAAATATAATCTCTTTAAAAAGTTAAAACCACAAATATCAGTCTTACGTGTTCTTCCCACCTCATATGCCTAAAATGCCAGAGTGAGTGAAATCAGGTGGCAAAATGAAACCATCATACCTACAAATGCAACTGACCATTTACATCAGCTGAGGATCTGCCCAGGTCTAGAAAATTCAAGCCTGATTTCCAGAGCGCATTTGCTATTTGACTTGCCACTTCACCTCCTGACCTTGCCACATGAATTCATACAGGAAGTTGAAAATCTGAAGAAAGACTTATTAAAAATAAATAAATAAATAAATAAATAGGGAGAACCAAGTATAGTATCTCATTCCTTCCATTCAGCGGTATAGCAATCATAAGGATTTCCAATGCAGCAGAAACTTTCAGATTTTCAGTTTCTTCCATTATTTAAAAGAACCAGTGAGGATTTTTATCCCCAAAGAAGCTAACTGTTTCCACAAAGAGGAAATATATAAATACAAGATGCACAGTGGATTCCAGGAGATTTCACTGGCTCATGACAGACTGAAATAGCTACCCAATGAAAGTGGAAAGAATCTATTTTTAATCCAGGCCGATAGATTATGGCAGTCAAGAAGTTTGTGGGAGATTATAAAAGAATCCAGATGGGCTTCATTCCACCATACCAGAACAGAGCTTAGGGAAAAAAACTTTGCCTATGAAAAATAATCTTAGCCAGCCTGTTTCATTCGCTCATTCTCCCTTCCTTTAGGATTTGCTAGAATTGTGTCTAAAATACCTTCCAAAATGTCAAAAGATTCCCTATTGTTATTTTTAGATTTTTTTTCCTGACTGTCAAGTTTACTTCCATTCTCCGATTTTCCCCATTTAAAAAAATAACTAAATAAAAGACTTTGTGAGCAAATAAAATATTTACCAACCAGTCAATACAACATCAGGACAATCAGAACCAAGCTCTACCCAAAGTACCCAGCCAGGTTCAGGACAATGGATTAGCAAAACTGTATGATTTTCATGTGTGAAAGTCTGAGCAATTTAAAAATTCTATTTTTGGGGGTGGGGGGCCTGTTTGGTGTTCTCTAACATAATTTAAATGAAAATCCAGAATTATAACAGGAATGCAGGTTATTAGTTACCAAGTGTTTGTAACCTAACTTTCATGTGTTTAGGAAATGCTGAATAGTTATTGTGACTTTTTTCTGTATTATAGTTTAAATAAATTACCAAGACAATTGAAACTGATCAAGCAAGCTTTCACAATCAAAAAGCTGCACTTTAGGCTTCACTTTTCAAATAGAGAAGTTACGTCTTTTACTTACAATTGACAAATACAAATTATTTTGATGCCCTAGAATTACTAACTGACATTACTGTCATGGTCTCTGCATCTGCAAAAAACCCCAAACAATTTACATATAATTTATGGCTATTTGGCCCATCCTGCAACATCCTCAAAGACGATTAGTATAGCAAAGTGTGGATGAGCTATTACCAGCAGTGATCACTCTCCTTACAGTGTGTATAACACCCATTTTTTCATGTTGTGTGTACATAAATCTCCTCACTGTATTTTCCACTAAATGCATCCGATGAAGTGAGCTGTAGCTCACGAAAGCTTATGCTCAAATAAATTGGTTAGTCTCTAACGTGCCACTAGTACTCCTTTTCTTTTAACATACTTTATGTATGGGAAGTGCTTTCATGAAACTGTAGTCACCTTTGAACAAAAAGATTATTTCAGAAATAGTGCAATTTCTAAAACTAAGTCAACAGAAGTGTGCAATTTTGCTAACATAAAAAACAACAGAAGCTCAAGAAGAGCGGAGCACAATCTTAATTAAGAGTCCAATCGCCAAGTGCACATACACATTGCAGAAGCGATGTTCACAGTCACGTGTAGATGTGCTGTCTTCTTTGTCACTTTGCCTTGCGGACTGGCCACAGGACCCTGTGGTGGGTGAGGAGTGCTGCATGGCATTGATGGCTGGCCACTGGGCTTTTGGAATGCCATGGGGGAATGGCTTGGGGTGGGCTGAAGGGTTCAAAATAGGCCTCCTAAAACTTGCTGTTCTTGGTGCCCTGTGCTCAGCTAACAAACAGGAGCAGCAAACAGGGGAGTCTTGCCAAGGAGTTCTCTAGGTGAAGGAGAAATAACTATGTAACTCTTAGGGTGAGTGTGTTGTCTGTCAATTGGTTTGTAGTTGTGAACTTGCTTGCTTGCTGTGCGCCTGCTTGGTTGAAGTTTATAGCATGGTCTGTTTGGGGCATTGTGTGCTGAGCCTAGCAGCCTGGTAGGCAAGGCTGAGAGCTTCCTAATTAGCCTACTACTACTATCCTTTAAACCCTAATCCCTTTAGGATCCCTTGACAAGGGGGCAACAGGGATTTTAAAAGCCACCTCATAAGCAACCAGAGAAGCTAGAGAACAGAAGCAGCAAACAGGAGAGCATGGGAGCCAGACCCACCTAATGAAAATTCTCTAAACTGTTAGGCCAATAACTCTCCCACCACCATCACCCACAAAAACTAAACACACACAACAACAAACCTCACACAAACACCGAACAAAAATAAACCCCTTCAAGAGTAAAATAATGCAGGCAGAAGTCGATCGGCAGAGTGGGGGCTATCTACTTTATTACACTGAATGCAGCACGCATGATTACCTGCCTTGCAGGCTGGTGGCATGTGTGTGCACTCAATGCAAGCAGATCGTGGCCCTCAGAGATGGAGTACAAGCTCTTCAGACCACAGGAGCTGAATTGGAGGAGCTAAAGGAGACAGAGAGGTACACAGACAAGACTTTCCAGGACACAGTAAAGCCGTCCCTCCCACCATCTAAGAACCTCTGTGCTGCTGAGGAGGATAAAAATCTCAGAGAACGAGATCATCAAGCTGGAGTGGAGAGAAATGATCCTATAGTTGGGACCCTCCTTCCAGATGATGTCATGGTATCCTCTCACACTTAGGATACCCCTCCAGGGCAAGTGACCCCTGTTATTAGGAAGAGACCGGTAATAGTAGCGGGGGAGTCGATTATTAGAAATATAGATGGTTGTGTTGGTGATGACCAGGAGAACCACACGGTTAACTGCCTGCTGGGTTTGAAGTTTGTGGCCCTCTCGAGACATCCAGACAGACTTATGTGCAGTGCTGGGGAGGAGCTGGTAGTCATGGTACAAGTAGATAGTACTGACACAGGGAAAAGGTAGGAGACAGGTCCTGGGGTCCAATTTTAGACTGCTAGATAAGAGATTAAAGTCCAGGACCTCCATGGTAGCATTCTCTGAAATGCTTCCAGTTCCACATAAAGGGCCCATTAGATAGGAAGAACTTCAAGGTCTCAATGTGTGGATGAGACAATGGTGTTCAGAGGAGGGATCTAGGTTTATTAGAAATGGAGGAGCCTTTTAGAAAAAGAGGATCTTGTACAGAAAGGATGG